ATTCCAAGTTATGAAACTTGCCTCTAAGAAAGAGACATAAGATTAAAGGAAATTTTCAAAGAAAAAGAGGTTAAATACATTTCTGTGTCAACTATTGCAACTTCACTACCCTTGATGCACATAGGAAAGAAAAGTGATTGCAGAATGTGTATTGTGTGATCGAACACTGTTGAATCCTTTTGTTGTCTAAACAATAACTAAATTTGTCATATTGTATTTTGAAGTTTGAAGGATGGTTTTCAAATGTATGTAGGTGTTTTGATTGTTGTGGTGGCTTTGAAAACAATTTTTGGTGTTGTGATTGTTGTCAGGAGATGACATTTTGAAAACATTGTTGAATCCTAAGGATGTTGATTGATTGTTGGCAGGATGATGTTTGGACAACCTTTGAAACTTTTGATTTGAATGAATGTTACATTTGTTGATTCGTTTAAGTATTAAGTGTTGACATTTTTGCATTATGGAACTTGTTTTTTATATCAGATTATTATAAATGAGGTGTACCATTAAGGTAAATGAGGCATTCAAATATTACAAGACAAAAAGCATACTCTCTCTTTTTCTTTTTAGATGTCGTTTTAATTTAAAACTTCTAAATTACGATTTTAATAGGTTGTGTAATTATTTTATATACTAATCCTCTTAAATTTAGTGTTTGAATTATTAATGGGTGGGTTTAAAGATAATGATAAGAGATAAAGTTTGTTAAATAGGATAAAGTTGAAAGAATGAATAAAATATTTCCGACGATAACTAAGGGTTAATAACTTTTTCCCATCTGAACTATCACGATTTTGGCGCATCACCATATGAACTTTTTTTTTTTACAAACCACCATCTAAACTACACGGGCTTGTCAAATTGCCCCCTAAACCGGAAATAAAAGTAGTTTTGATTAGAAAAAGCTGATTTTTTAGGGTATTTTCGTAATTTCATATATTTTTCAAAAAAAATGAAAAATGAAAAATGAAGGAAACAATGGGACTACCCTATACCCCATCGCCATCGCCTCCGTAAGAACGAAACCCTAATCCCCAATTTGAATTCACACTCCCCCAACAAATTTCTCCCCGTCTGTTGCAACAAAGCTCCGGCCATGCGTGGATTCTGATTGCTCCGCCTCCGCAAAACCATCCACACCTCCTCCGTCCAAAGCCCTAACCCCATCCCCTTCGCCACCTGCTGCAAATCCCGCAACTGCCCCAAGCAGCCGAGGAATCTCCACTCCACTCCTGAACGCCGGTTCCCCTCCTCCGCCGCCACGGACAATGAAACCGCCGCGCTCACCTGGTCGGAAAAAATTTCAAATTGAAGGAAAAAATTTCCTCTTCGCCCTAGCGCGGCGACCAGAATTCATCGGCGTTTACATCTCGGCGAGTTCGAGCTCATGTCCGACCACCGGCGACCACGGCCATGTCTAACCCGACCCTCGCAGTGGCCGGTTTCTTTTCAATTTCTCCCCGACGGTAATGTCGAGCAGCCCCGTTTTAAAGAAATCCCCGTCGGCTCCTTTTCATCGACTGAGACGGCCATTCCAATGAATTTCGCCGTCGAATTTGAGCAGCCATCTCCCCATCGGCTTCTTTCCGAGCAGCAGCAACCCCGTCCTGTAGCGAGCAGCCGACGGACTCCGAACAAATAGCAACAGCCCTCGTCGGCCTTTGTTTCCCAGCAGCCCCTTTTTCTTTTTTATTTTTGTTTTTTTATTTTTTTTGAAACAAAATTCTTTAATTCTATCATTTTCTTTTTTTTTTAGAAAAATTTATGAAATTACTGAAAATACCTTTAAAAACAACTTGTTTTAGTCAAAACTACTTTTAAATCCGGTTTAGGGGGTAATTTGACAAGCTCGTGTAGTTTAGATGGTGGTTTGTAAAAAAAAAAGTTCATATGGTGATGCACCAAAATCGTGATAGTTCAGATGGAAAAAAGTTATTAACCCGATAACTAATTTGCAAAAAAATTGACATCATACAACATGTATGAAAAAACAGATGGAGTATTACAAACACCACCATATCCATTCTCCAAAGTTAAACACAATTAATAGACCAAAGTAGAGAATTAGAACACACAAAATTCAGTTATATTTCATATCCATCATCATCATATTACATCAAGTCCACAAATAAAGCGATTCCGTATTTCTAGTTAATATCCATCATCATCAAACCATAGTTCAATTACATTCCCACTTCAGTTCCATCATCACCAAATCAAAGTTCAATCTATTCCAACTTCATCAAGTACACAATTAAAAGATAAACAAATGTTATAGATACCAACAATTCCAATCTCGAGATTCTTTGGTTCAGAGTCTTCAATTCTATTTTAGATTTCTTCTTCATGATTTTTATTTATTCTTTAAGCAATTCAAACCATGCTATTTTTTTCTTAAGGACGCAATTCCAGATTGAAACGACTGGCTCATGATTTTTCATTCATCTTCCATAACCCCTATTTTATCTGTTTCGTACCATGAAAAGAAACCGCATCACGTCTTCTAATTTTTACAGCCAGAGAACTTTTCCCTAGGATTCGAGCTTGTTTTTTAAGTCCATTACCTGAACCATTTTATCAATATTTCTCAAAAATTGTATGAAACCTGATTAAAGTGGCAACATCGTGGACATTTTTTAAAGAAACTGTACTTGATGGACCTTTTTCGAAAAATGACTAATATAGTGGACTAAAAATGAAATTTGCCCCTTAGTTTTTCAACCAAAAATACAATGTACTATGAAGTATTCTGTATGCTTTTTTTTATATTTTTATTCTGGCTTATGAGAACAAAATGATTATATTATAACTTTTAACATCGTATGAAATACTTCTTTTATATAATATTAAGTATAGTCGAATGAAAAATTTTTTAGCCTTACTTTTCATAATTCCTTGTGGCTCATCTCAATAAAATTGTAAGTTTTAGTAAAGAGGTGAAAGGTATCCTTTTTGGGGAGCAATCTTAGGATCAACTCCCACGAAATGTGTGGTTTGCAGATTTTTTATTTGTTGCAAGGACATGTATTTTCTCTTCTTGTTAGCTGATCATGTTAACAAAGAGGAAAAAAAAAATATTCTTAGCTCAAACATTATATGGGTTTTGTATGTATGACTGTCGAGTTTATGGAAAATTTGAAGAACTATTCTTGTAAATATCACTTGTTTTAAAAATAATTCTCTAAGAATTGTATTTTGGGAAAATGTTCTTTTTGTTCAAAATATTGGAATAATAGTCTTTAATTATCATGATATTCACCATACATTTCACATACTTTAAGATCCATTTTTCTATAAAATTTGATAGGACCCTATAATTTAGTCATCGGTGTGTTAAATTTGATCAAACGTTAGGATATATTCAAAGAGAAAGGCGCTTCAGAAGAAGACTGATACTGTTTGGTATGGTATCATAGGAAGCTGGTGGAAGTTCCATTTTTTAGGAATCAATCGCCACCATCAAAGTCTTTTTTTTTTTTTTTTTACGAAACGATAGAAAATATTATATAACAAAAGCGCACAAATGTGCAAAGTACACAGCCCATGGCCGAAGAATACAGCCAATAGCTGAATAAAACTGGGAGGACAGGTCTAAAAGACCGCCTAGAGACGACTAGCAACGCTAGAAAGAAAACTCACAATAACACAACACCAACAACCTAACTACGGAACGACCCCAAACGAGGTACTGTGGAACGACCCCCAACGAGGTAATGTGGGACGACTCCAACGGAGTAATCCCTCGCACAGGGGCCAAGTGACCCAAACCTAAAATACCAGACCAGAACAAACCAATACAGACACAAAACAGCCTAATCCAAATCGAAACACTAACATATAAAACAAGAACACAAAACACTAAACTAAATAATCTAATAGCCCTTCTGCAGCGAACGAGTAAGCCCGGACTAGAGAGTGCACGATTGACACAAGACCAATCCAGACCAAGCACCATCTACCGAAACTGCAATTAAGTCTATACAGTAGCGGAACCCAATCCCGAACCAGTCCCCGCATCAACCGCTCGACAACCAAGAGTCCAGCATCCATCCCACTCCGATCCAACCGAACTTTTCTAACACCACTAGACAAGGCCGATAGAACCTCCCCCGTCGCCTAACACCACTAGATGACGGGGATTGGAGTAAGAGAGAACAACCCTCTCCCGACCACCGCGACAAAAAGCGACGCAGTAACCAGGGTCCCGCCCCACCCGACGATTCGCACTCCACCCATCACCACCACATACATCCAATGAACAATCGGCCCGACCCCACAAGAAGAGGTGAGGCGCCGCCGGCACAGACGAAATCAGACCTGCTCAGACGGAGGGAAGAAAAGGACGGGTCTTACCATCGCAAATCGCAACTCCTCCAGTGACTGGAAAGAAGATTCCAATCGTCGGCCGTGCTTCCATCGCGAGGTGAACCGCCACCGTCCGGAGCGCCATTAACGACCGCGAACTTGTTTCCCCATCACTGGACCATCTGTGGTTGGAATAGGGGTGCTCCTCGCCAGGGGGCCGCGAACAGGTGAGGACGACCCTTAGCCGAGCAGTACCGACGCCGAGGAAGGCAGATGTGTCGGAAATTCGAGGCCTGAGAAGCTAGGTTTCGTCGCAGAGGATTTGGGGATATTTTCGCCGACTCTTATTGACTCAAGTTTAAAGTTGCTAAAAAACATCTCCACCATCAAAGTCTTAGACTCATGAATTTTAATTTATTTGTTAAATTAAATAGTGGTACTCTTAGTGGCTAATATGTCTTTTTCAATGTTGTATGTATGTTCCCTAAAACATGCCATATATGAAAGATTATGGGTTACATTATACAAACAAAAGCTCTATGTTTTAGTGTCGTTAGTGCTTATTAATTATAAAATGTCTACTAACAAGAAGAAGAATTCTTTTTGGAGGCGCTTAATTATATACATACATACCATCATACAATTCTTTCTCTAGGTCCTTTTGACTTATTTCTCAGGAAAAAAGAAAACACTTATCAAGAACATTCCTCTAAGATACTAACTACTTTCGAGCGCTGATCATCGCTCAACACAGTCGGAAACTCGACCAGGAACTTGAGCCTAAGATCCCCCCTCTTTCCTTGTTTAGAAATTGTCATGCCTTGTCCCGGTATAGTTTTCTCATATCCAGGATAGATTACTTCATCTATCGATAAGTTTATTTGGCCACCTCCTAATAGAGGGACGGGGACAGTGCACCCCGTGAGAGCCTGAACAAGTGGAATTTCAACTCCAAGCTCCAAGTTGTCTCCTTCCCGTTTGAACAATGGATGCCTTTTCTCGTCAATGCAAAAGATTATATCAGCAGGGAGTGTACCCGGTCTTTCATCTCCTTTGCCTTCAAACGTGATCTTTGTGCCCTTTTTCCATCCAGCTTTAACTTTCATCATTAGTATCTCTTCTTCTTTAATAATCAACCTAAAATTCAAAGTTTATGTCATCACATACTTTAATTGGTTATATTTTTATTAAACTTCAAAAGTTGATTTTTGTCATACCCGGAGCCTGAGATAGTATCCCTTGTGATTTTGATCTTCTTGACACACCCGTGGCACAACTCCTCGAGCGAGCATTGCAATTTTTTCTCTATTGGTGGAGGTTTTCTCCTTACCACCGAGTGTGAGAAAAATATGGGAGTTGTGCTCGTTCGACTTCCCACTTTAGATAAGGTTGCAGGCTCTCTAGGCGTGCTAGGGGTGGTCGGCGTGTTTCCTCCTGATGAGATTTTTGAGTAAAAATCCATAGGCGGTGGAGTTGTGTTCCTCTGGCTTGAGCTGCTAGAAAAAGTCGGGCTCGTGAGTGGACTGATCCGACTTGTGGTGCGCGATAGTAAGGTTGGGCTTGAAATTTGGAGCTCCTTTTTGGCCTTGCCATTGTCATCACCATCATCATCATCATTTTTTTCTTGATTGAATGATTTCTTCTTTTTTTGCGTCTTTGGTTCGTGTTTGTCGTTGCATGCCATGTCTTCTTCTCTTTTCTTGATGCTGAGGGCCTGAAAAATTTATCAATAAAAATAAAATAGAAATAATTTATGTTCTTTTATTTTGGAGACATGCATTGTTGTTTATTATAATGTACCCTATAAGCTTCATTGATGGAGTTGAACTTGGCTTCCGCTTCGTCCTTGTTGGAGGGGTTTCGGTCAGGATGCCATTTCATGACCAGAGATTTGTAGGCTCTACAAATATCAGAAAGGGAAGCGGATTTTTGAATCCCGAGAATGCCGTAAAAATTTGATGATTGTGACCTACGATGATCTCCCATAGGGAGATGAAGAAAAAGTGAGAATAAAGGGAGAGATAACGGGAGAGAAAGAAAGTTGCAGGGAAGGTTTGGAGAGATAATGGAATGAGGGAGGATTCTGGAAAATTAGGTAATAAGAGATTGTGTTGAAGTGTGAAGGAAAATACAATAACTGAACATTTGGTCCCAAAGGTTATTTGTGATTCGTATGAGAGAATACAAATATGCAAGCAAGAAGCGCTTTCTTAGGAGTTTTTTAGGCATGTTGGTTGAGTTGGAAGATAAAAACGTCCTATTTTTAGGTCTAATTCATATTTTATCTTTTTATGTACATATGGGTAAATTCAAGTTCAAAAGTCTATGACATAGAATAAATTAAATCAACTAATGTAAGGTAAGGAGCTTATTTTAGTTAAATACACTATTATAAAGAGAGGAATTGTTAGTTTAATATGAAACTAGTCATTTTATTAGTTTGGTTTGACAACTATCTATCAAAGGAAACTCTCAAGAATGGGTTAGCACAGATGATTTTTAATTTATCGTAACATTAACTTATTATCTTCCCCAGTGCAATATTAGTAAGAAACCGAATGTTGTATTTTATAAAAGAAAATGCCACAACCATAGTCTTGTCATCTCTCACACAAGCCACGTCTCACCTCATGTGAGAAGAATGTATACCTAAGTGTAAATCTGAAGATACAAGTAGATTGATTCAAGGTTCGTATATGGAAACAAAGGAAACTAGCACATGAAGGGATTTACAAAACATTACCCCAATGTAGAGCTGAAATTGACATAAAACAACACAAATATGTGTGTTATGCAACTCTAAATCACTTAGACGTGTGTATTTGTTTTGTTTATTCTGATTAAGTTATTTATCTATGGTTAGAATGTCGCTTCCTAGCTTCACATACAACTAAATGAACAGTTCTTTTTCATTCATGAATTGCATGCGCAATAAGTGGTGGAGATAGTAGACGATTTGCAAACTTATGGTAATATTTCAACATTGAATTAACTTGAGCAATTATTCCCATAAGTGTGAGAGTATACACTTATCCGGTGAGGTTTGTGGATTGAAAATATTGACCGTGATTTTGATGAAGCATTCTTATGTTTAAAAATTACAGAACTTCGTTATGTTATTGCCCGATGCCTATTGGGAATGTGCATGATTGACTTTGAGAGTTGTGATTGTCTTTTCTTGTGTGGTGGTAGGAGTTTGATGCATTGATCGGGACTATCAATGGTTTAAGTTTGGGGTTTGTCCATGTGTGATTTTACACTATATTTATATAGTATCTACAATTTATTCATTGCATTATTGGTGTATAAATTGCATTAATGTGCTTTAATTATATATCTTGTTGGAAATGTATTACACATGCTTGTTTTATAGATATTTCTTTGTAGAGCTTTTGGCTATTGGAGGCGCATGGTGAGTCCGTAAGACTTCCGGGATAATGAAAAATTGATGCACGGATGAAAAAAAATGAAAAAAAAGAGTAAAACGAGCGAAAAGTAGAGTGCAGATTTGTGACATGGGCAGTGACAATGACATTATGCCCGTGTCAGAGACCGTGCCACCCCAAAAGTGAGATTTCGAAACTTTAAACGTGACACGGGCTGCGACACGACCAGTGACACAGGCAGAATGGTCGTGTTGCGTGCGCAGACTGTTTTTTATTTCTTCCCTATTTTGAAAAGGAGAAAGCTTTAAGATGGTATAAAATGCATAATAACCCTGTTTTGAGAGGGGAAAGCGTGATACACAAGAGGAAGAGTCATTGAACACACAAGAGAAGCAATTGAGAAACAAAGAAGATCCAACTACAAAGGAATCAAGGAGGTTGAGAGATCTATGAGATTCCTAGTTTTTCTTTCTTCTTTCTTTTGAATTTTTGTTTATCATGTTAATTTTCAATATGTTTATGTATTTGATTTCGAACATGAGTGGCTAGATTATTTGATTCTAGGATGTGATAATAGATTAATATGTTGGGATTTTGGATGAATTATTATAATTATTGTTTTCTTTTGAATCCTATTCAAATATTTTGTTCTTATTCTATGTATAACACTTGATCAATGCTTTTATATGATTGACAATATTGTTCATAATTCGAGAGATGCGTTGTATATTGCGTCTTTAATATTTGACTCAATTTACTTACTTTAATCGAGAGATTAATAAGTAGTTGTGAGGATATTATATCTTTTGTTCTATTTGGAGTTGAATTGCATTTGTTGAGTGGAGACGCTAATATATGTGATTTAATCTACGGCTTTATCGATCTCGAGAAGGACGATAAGCTAAATTCGTGAGTATCTTATAGGCTAGATAAAGAAAACATTTAGTTCTGATATTTTTTAAGGACGGTTTTGTTATGAAGCCAACAGTTGGCTCCATAGTGGAGTGAACCTTCTATATACAACAAGTAAACTTACCATATTCTATTATTAATTAAATAACACTAATATAATTTTATAAGCTCGACCGCAAGTGTACGACTTTGCTTGTAGTATGTGGCAAGCAAGGTCGTATCCCAAGAGACCAAATAATTAATTTATCAATTACTAGATTATGATAGTGTTAAATTTATTTAGACAGTCGAATATGAGATAAATTAGCTAAACTAAGAAAATGTAATAATAATAATAATAATAATAATAATAATAATAATAATAAAGAATAAAGCAAGAAGGATGAATTAGCTAGAAAAACACGTAAGACAAATTTATGGGATGATAGATTATAAGACTATAGCTTCAATTAACAGTTAGGTTCATAGCAAAACCGTTTTGAAAGAACCTAACTGTAAATTGAAGTCATAGTCTTATAATTTATCATCCCATATATTTGTCTTACGTGTTTTTCTAGCTAATTCATACTTCTTGCTTTATTCTTTTTATTATTATTATTATTATTATTATTATTATTATTATTATTATTATTATATTTTCTTAGTTTAGCTAATCTATCTCATATTCGACTGTCTAAATAAATTTGACACTATCATAATCTAGTAATTGATACATTAACTATTTGATCTCTTAAGATACGACATTGCTTGCCACAAACTACAAGTAAAGCCGTACACTTACGGTCGAGTTTTAAACATATATGCGAACAATTTTAAAAAAAATGTGTACTTTGAAAATGCCGTATCATCATCCATTAGGGAACAAACAGCAAAACATAAGTTTTATAATTTAATGATTTATGACAAATTTACATTATTTATTACTTATTTTAAATTAAAAAAGAGGAATGTTTCTTTTAAAAATGTTTGGATCTTATAAAATTTGAGAAAGAAAGAAAAACACAAAAAAATTTAATAATAAGAGGTCAGCAATTTACTTTAACACGTGTCATAGTTAGTTTAAATAAATCAGTTTTTGTACAAGTGAACTTTCCATTAATAATAATAGTTAATAGAACCTACAAAAAAAACTTTTTATTTTTAATAATTGTGTTTCCTAATTATATAGTAGATAAATTTTCGTGTCCTGAAATATTTTTCAAAACATTTGTCTAAGTTCCGACTAAAATATTTTGTAGTTTGAAAGGTATATACATAAAAACTGTTGAAAAAGTTTTAGTACATAAGTTTCTTCACAAACTACATAAATTAAATTAAAAAACATTTTTGAAAAAAGCAACAATAAAATCTGTATATATTGAAAGAGATTGATGGAATAATCTAAAATAGTAATTTTGACTTTTAATTAAATAGATTGACTTACTATTAAAGAAAATATAGTAAAAAATACATTAATATTTATAAAAAAAATAAATTAAATACCTATATGTTGTAAATCGTGCAATCCCGTTAATAGCACGACTTCCTATATAAATAAAGTGGTATCAATTTTGAAATTATTTGTTCATATCTATGCAATAAAAATTCGATTAGTCATATTAATTACGAATTGCTACAATTTCTTATTCTTTCATGTCTTCAAAAAATGTCTATTAAATATATTTCGATTTTAGAAATATTATTTGAATATGCACGATAAAATTGCAAATACTTATAAAATAAAACTTGAAAATCAAATATAGAAATTCTATTATGATATTTATCACAATGTTACAATAGAACCTAATTTATCAACATTAATAACAAATCACGGTGAGTTCTTATTCATTTGGTAATCAACCATATATCAAAATATTTTTGATCGTAGCTTTTTAATCAAGAGGATTAGTTTAGAATTCTTTTATTTATCAATAACTCAACCGTTTCAGTTTTTCAAAAATTATAAACCCAATTTTCTAAAATATCATCAGAAATTTAACTACTTATCTTTAATAACAAATAAATCTTCATCCTTATTTACAAAACATGCATTCTCCTGTTTTGTTGGGTATACAATCACATGTAGACCGAAATATGCGTGAGAACATTGCAAAATATACGTACAAAATAAATTGAAAAGTCAATTGAAAAATCTTATTGATATAACTACCACAATACTGTAATAGAGTTGATATTGCAATATTAATAACAAATCCCTACGATTTTCTATTCGTTTCATAATGAGTCATATACCAAAATCATCTACTCAAGGAGTTCAAAAATATCTTTTGATTAATAATTGCACCAAATCAATTTTTTAAAAATTCATATTGCGATTCGCAATATCATAACAAATCCCATATAAATTAATAGATTATAAAAAATTAAAATACTTATAATATTATAAATTATAAGAAAAAATAAAATAATATTGATGTAATTAAAAATAAATATTTATTAACTGTAAAATAATATATATTATAATTTTTTTTTTCAATTAAGTGTGGGTTATAATATTTGCCACAAATTTTCAATTTTAGCCTAACTTAATTAGAAATTGAAATAATATATTGTAACAAGGTATGAATGAGAGAAGATAGAGAGAGAAAAGTATTATGTGAGTATTATTTATTGATAATATTTGAATATGTTAAACATTCATTTCTAATCATAAACAAGATCTAAAATGACCAACTATTTTATAACGAG